ATATATATATATATAATTAAATTTTTAAGTACTTCAACCGTGTAGGAACATTGATGGAACTTGGATCAATCTTTCGGATCAGAAAAAGAGAAACATCTCGAAGCAGAAATATTGTTTTTTCAAGAAAACGCTTGGAAACTCTACAAAAATGTCTGCGAAATCAGAATACAAAAATTACAATTTTTTGAAAATACATGGAAAACTCCGAAAAAAACATTCAAATGTCTATAAATGTAAATTGGGATAGAACTTTTATTAACTACATCCAAAATCTCATTGAACATTAAATTAGGAATGCTTCTCATACAATGCAATTGAAGTCTAAAAACGGAACATAAAATTTTTTAGACATTAAAAATTTTTAATAATTTTTATAAGACTAATCAAGACAGGAATATATAACAGAAAGCACAGACTCTTACATATATAATGCATGACGTACAAGACACAAGAAAACTCTCCAATCAGAGTTCTTCATTTCATGGAAAGGAAAGAAATGAAGAAATTTGATTTTTTTCGTTTACTTTAGGCTCGGTTTCACAACTCATGGTTAATTCTTAACTTCTTCATCTCTTTCTATTACTAGAATTACAATACAAGAGATGAAAAATAAATTGATTAAGCGTCAACCGTGAGTTGTAAAACTGAGCCTACTGCTCATTTCTATCAATGTTATACTACATTAATAATCTTGGTTCAATTATCTCTTCATCGCTTTCTAGTTTCAAAAATTAGAAAGAGACGAAGTGCAAGAGACGAGGTTGAACCGAAATTAAGGAGGTTCTCCGACTGCAGTTATGCTCAACCTAATGAGTATTAGTGCTCACCATTATGAAAATTTTTATGAAAATTTATTTCACTTTTATATAGTATAAGATATTCCATAAGTGTTAATATGTTTATAAGATTTTTATACAATATAAAATGCCTCCTGTCTTCGCCACCGGTCGAAAAAATAGCGACTTTACTTACTGTGTTACTTATTTTGCTTAATGATTTCTTAAAAACGAATACCGGAAGCCATATTTAGACAAATTTCATATTATTCCTTGTGATATCAAGTTTTATATCTTATTATTTCAAAAAATTTAGCATTGTTAAAAAAAACTTTTTAAAAAATTTAACATTGTTAAAAAAAACTTTTTTACAGTGAATAAAAAGACCACTTTCGAATAAGTTTTAAATAGTAAT